CAATTTTTTTCATTCAACCTCTCCCCCCATCCCTTTGTGCCCGCTGCCCCCTGCCTCCGCCTCCGAAGTGTATTGAAGTTCACTGTCTCTTTGCAAATGCAGTCTGCAGAGTGTGTGTGTGTGTGTGTGTGTGTGTGGACATGCACACTGAGATATATAAATCTGTAAAGGCAGGAAAATTCAGAAATATCTAATAAATCAGCTTGTTTCATGATTTCAACCACTGCTCGGCAGGCCGCTCACTGCTCGGAAGGCCGCTCTGCTTTACAGAGAACTCAGGCACCCGTCTCAGTCTTTCGTTCACTCTCTCCCGTTTTTTTTTTTGTGCCATTTTCTGCCACTTCGGCTGCTGTGAGGCAGTCAGTAATGCAGTCACTGTCCCTCTGCAGCCCCCTGCTGTGTGTGCAAGTGACTTGGCCTGTAAGGAGAGGGGGGAGACGCGGGGTCAAGGTGAGCTCTAATACACTATTGATCCGCCCCAATTGAAAACCTGATGGAAATTTTACCCCCCTCCCCTTTTCTCCTTCCCATCTGTGTATCTCTGTCTTTCCCTTGTCTTTCTTTTTTTCTGTCTCCCTAGTGAACAACTTCTTCTGTGCTTCCTCCTTTTTTGCAAATTAGATCCTACCCAGAGGCTGTCTTTGTGGCATCTTTTTCTCTCATGTTGTCCCCCTTCTTCTTCTTTGTCCCCTTTTACATCTTTACATTTTAGAGACATCTAACCCGGTTCCTTGTTTTTTTTCTCATTCAAAAGGAAACTAATTTTCGCATATAAATTGCACGATAAACACTATAGAGACACATATAGTGTGACCGGGTTACAGCAAGAGACCTTCTTGTTTGTCTTTTTGAAGAATTGTAGTCTTTGAATACGTTTAAACTTGAGTGAGTATGTGTGTGTGATAAGAGCACACACACACACACACACACTGACACACCGTGAGCAGTGTGGCAGTATGGTCACCAGTGCAGTGTATTAAATGCCACTAGGTTTGGCCTCAGGGCTGCACAGTGATCCCTCAGCAGGAAGAGCCAGTCGATAGCACTCCATCCTGGTCAACAATGAACAACGCTCCACAAAATCTATGTCAACACTTTTGTATTTTCACTTTGGGTAAAGTGGAAAATAAGACGGGCTTCATCCGTCATGTTTGAAAGATATCTCTATTTCTTTGTCTAATGTTTCTAATGTGTAAACCACAGATAATTATATATACAATGTACAAAATAATGTTGTTCCATCTTGAAAAAGTAAGTGTTTCTGCTGCCTTAGTAGTTTAGGTTTAGTCAACTCAAATATCCAAGTTGTCATTGAGTAGAACTTTACATTTCAAGCTGACTAAACTTACATTTTTAAGTCAGCACAAATACTTACTTTTTTAAAGCTGAAACAAAAATGTTGCTAACTCTGGCACAATATCTGTGTTGTGCATGGTTCCTGTTAAATAAATGAAATAAAATGCAACCAATGGTAAAACAAATGAAGAGTTCAGATGCAACAGCCTCTAAATGCCATTTGAAATTTTCTTCTTTAATGATGATTTTTATCAAGCTTGTATATTTAAGTTCAGTGATTTCACTTAAATGGCAACGATAATTACCTATTAATTGTTATTTAAGTGAAATTACTGAACTTAAATATACAAGTTTGATAAAAATCATCATTAAAGAAGAAAATTTCAAATGGCATTTAGAGGCTTTTGCATCTGAACTCTTCAAATAATACATAAGTCAGGGTTGGGCGATATTCAGAATTGAAGAACTGGCTCGATTTCAATTAACGAGTGTGAATTCGAATGAAATGGTCTAAAACAGGAAGTGGAATCGAAATGACAGGAAGAGGAATCTCTCTAATTATCTATCTATATCTAGCTAATAAATATACAAAGTAGAGCTTCAGGCCATGTCAAGTCAACATTTAAAGTTTTCCTTTATAAAACTTGATTTTCAAGTTCTTTGAATTTGAATTTGGTTTGCTGTCTCAACTCAAATTCAGAAACTTAATTAAAAATGCACTCTCAATTCAATTTTGAATGGCGCATAATCCCTATGTAAACGAGCCTTAAAGTCACCGAAAGACTTAACGATTCTGTTCCCCAACAATGGGCGGTCAATTTAAAGACTAAATGAGATCTTAACATGTTTATATCTATTTTTTTTTTTTAAATCACAGGATTTTGAATCTGAATTTCACTCTCCATTCAGCATCTCTCTACTTTTACCTTTCCCTGCTTGCATAGTTGTTAATTACTTTGTAGAACAGACTGTGTGATAAAACTGTCTCTTTGAGTGCATGCAAGAGCTTCCAGGTGTGATTTATGTTCTGTTGTGTATCTGTCAGGTGGTAGCGCTATCTTTACCACAATCTCCCCATGGACGCAGAAACATTACACATGTGGTGAGGCCCTGTGTCGACCTGCAGCCCGTGATACGCATCTGGAACATCAATGACAATGATGCACACTAAGGATGAGGAATGAGACAATGCAGGGCAGAAAGACTGAAGCATTGGGGACAATAATCAAGGTTGTTCTGTGTCTTATTCCTTACTCCTTACACAAGTTGTATGTGCTAAAGATCCAAATAAACCCCAAATAATCACATTTTCTCTTTCTCTTTTTATCTCGCTCTCTCTTTCTCAGTCTCTCTCTCTCACAGAGTCTTAGCTTAATTGCTTTTAAACCGGATTAATGACTGACCGGGGACATGTTGCCTTAATCTCCGCTCTTGTAAAGCTGCTGTTTCTCAGCTGTGCCTTCTCCCTTTCCTGTCCTCATCCATCCTCTCAACCCACTTACTCTTCGTCTCCCTCTCCAGCACTTTACCTCAGTCACCATCAGTCTCCCTGTCCGTCTATTGCTCCGTTTTTTCCCAAGCACAGTTGCGGCTTCTTCTGCACATTATAACTCAATCCTGTTATGCCATTTGTCTCTCTGTCTCGCTTATGCTCTTCGCTGATATATTCTTATCTTTTACTTTCATCTCTAGCTCTGCCCGAGTTATGAGCTCACTTACTCCCAAGTGCACACACACTCAAACCCCTCTGCTGTGTGTGTACGCTGTAGTCGTGATGCATGGCCAGTCGTGGAGTCTTGTATTAGCACATGTCGATGGGAGACTGTCATTGCCTCCTAAGTGTTTTGGCAATACGGGATCTGCTGTCATGCCAGTGCAACTAATCTCAATCGAATTACATTGAGCTGGTATTGAGATGGTGAGAGAGGACAAGAGTACTTGACTAAGCTCCTCTCATGGCCAACAAGTTTTAGAGCGTGTGTTTGCTTGAGTCCTTCACATGAACAATCATAAAAAGCTACCTTTTCTGAGGTTCTTTTAAATTGCCATATTCATTTCAAAACGGTTTGACTGTCTACTACAGAACACAAAAGAAGAAATGTTTCAACTGAATTATCCCTGAGGGGTGATCGTGCTTTCTCGGTCGCTTGTCCCAGATTGCGAAATAATCTGCCATTGGATGTTAGATCTTCCTTTACTCTTAATGTTTTTAAGGAACGCTTAAAATCTTATCTGCACTCTTTGGCATTTTAGTACAACAGTACATGGATGGTTTTATGTTGTGTCTTATCGTTCTGTTGCTTTTTATTGCAATGTACAGCACTTTGGAACTGTGGTTAAGGTGCCATATAAATAAATAAACGGAAAAAAAATGATTTTGTCCATAGATTGAAAGTCAGTGGGGTCAATGACTTATTATATGGACCAAAAACATTTTTCACAATAACTTTTTTGTGCAGATTTAGAATATTATGAATTGAGTAAATGATGACAAAATTTTAATTGTATGGTGAATTATCCCTTTAAATAACCAAGACTTATTTAAAGGGATACTCCACCCCAAAATGAAAATTCGATTGGAACCAAACAGTTGTTTGGCATGCATTGACTTCCATAGTAGAAAAACAAAATACCTAAGTCAATGGTGCCCCACAACTGTTTGGTTCCAATTGTATTCCTTTGTGTTCAGCAGAAGAAAGAAACTTGTACAGAAATTTTTTGGGTGGACTAACCCTTTAATTTGAAGTACTGATAAAATGTATTTAGAATTTAGTTTGGTTCTCTTTCTCTCTCTCCTATCTGTTCCAAAATGTCTAACTTCTGAACTCTTTTATTTAACCTACACCCTCTCGTCTATATTAGTCTCTGCAACTTTCTCTCAAGCCTACTCTCTCTTTCTCTCTCACAGACATTTCTATCTCCTCTTCTCCCCTTGCAGTTGCCGTCAGGATTAAACAGTTATCTCGTAGGCCCTCTATCGCCCCTAAATACTGCGGATGATAAGACTCACTTGGATTTGTCAAATTGGGCACCATCGATTAACTGACCTTTCCTTACTCTCAGGCTCCCAGGCACTCTCCACACCGTCGACATGCCAGATAGAGAGATAGATGGATATATATATTGCTGTTATTATTGTGTACACGTTTGTAGCAACCAGGGGTGCACAGGAGGTGGATGAGATAGGAGGGCAGAACACAGTGGGGAGGGAGAGGGGAAAGAGCAGGAACTCGGAGGAAAGGAGAGAAATGCCTTTGCTTATAAAAGTAGTAGCCTATAAAAACTAAAAAAAAAATGTTAGCCTAAAGAACTCAAAACGTGTATCTGAATTAACTGTAAATTAATACCTTTGTCTATGTTAACGGTTACAAACACAAGATGGAAGCATAATAAAGAAATACTGCATAACCATTTCAGCATTTAAATTGTGAGATACATATTTTAAACTATTTTTAAATGACTTTAGCTGTAGGGGACAATAGGCTATATTTCAGTGCTTACAAATAGAATAGCAGATGCTTTGAAATACCCCTTTTGGCAACCTGTTGTGAACAAATTCACTATGCGAGTGAACACGAATGATGTGTTTCTCACCGCAGTTAGCTAAACAGCGCGTCGCTCGAGCAACATTTACGAAACAGTATATGTGCGAGATGTAGAATGATGCGAGACCCGTCTGTGTTTGTTTTCGGAGCTGAACTTACCGGCTATCCCAAATGGCCTCGCCTCAGACGGAAACCAAGGGCCGGAGCCGGCACCGTGGCTGCTGGCTGTAAGATGGGCCGAAAATCTCTGGGCTTTATCTGATCCACTTCGAAGAGCAAAGATTGTGCCGTTCCGTGCAGCTATAATGATGCGCTGAAACGGAAAAATAATTTGTTGATAAAAAGTTTACAAAACGTGTTTTTACTCATTTTTTACTCTTCTTGTATTGATAAATTATAGGCTATTCTTCTTAAACAAGGAATGATAGCGTCAAAACATTAATCTTTTAGCCTATAGGCTGTTGCAGCAAAGAGCTGGAAAGCTTTCCCTACAAGTAAGATTTATGTGTAATTTTGTTCTGCAAATGTTGTTCAATTCTATCTATATTTACACCTTAAAATACAGATTCTCGAACATTTCGGATAAAAAAAGCTGTCGGGTAATATGCAGAGTAAAATTTTGAATAATAGCCTAAGTAATTAGGCCTACATGGTCATATTTAGTAATAACATACTCGCAGTTTCCTAAGGAATTTTCATTAATATCCCATAAAGTAGGCTAATTTTACAAAGCGACATTGGCCTGAAGTCCGTTGCAGTAACCACATTCTGATAAAATAGGTCTATAAATGTGAAAATGCCACATAAAGTTTGACGTTAGACAAGAATAGTTTTTTTACGCTTTACATATAATTTTTATTATAGGCTATAAAACTCAATAGCCTATTGAGTTATTTTTTGAGTCAGAGAATCAGTGCGTTTATAACAGCAGCGCTCATTTCCTTCTAAATAAAAATGCAATCTTAAGACATTTCTAATCATGGAGAATCAGAGAGTCGAAATGTAATGTAAGCCTATAAAATGTGTTGAATTTGATTCCACTAAAGTGTGTTTTTGAAAACAAGTTTCAGCCGTGACTTGTAAAGAGGGAAGCTTCACAAATAAAACAAGATAGGCCTACGGACAAATATTTCACGATATTATAAATTATAAAGTTTTAAAATGTTTTAAAATGTTTACAAAATGCAAAATAGGCTACTTTAAAATTGTTCAATTGTATGAAGCTAATTAATTATTTTTTTAAATGCTTGCAAATGTTAGAATAGTTAGAATATATTAGTTAGGCTATATGACGATAACGATGATTATAATGCCTATTATTACCAATCATGTCAGAGACATTTTTACATTTCCGTATAAACATTATCTTCTGCAGATTTTCTAATTTCAAGTAATGGAGCATGACATAAAACAAAGTTGTCCAGGTGAGCAGTTTCGGTAACGCGGACTAAAGGGCAGTGCTGGGGTGGAGGGAGGGGGGAGTGACTGAGTGATGTGGAGAGGAGAGATATCCCCAAATGCCATTTAATGTCGGAAATATTTCCTACAAATATTGACAGAGAGATAGACGCAGGAGTGACACGCAGAGGAACGGCTCAGGCGGGCAAGTGATTGAATTAATGGATGTTCTGGATATTGTCCAAATTCGTTGACTGACATCCTGTGGTTAACTACTTTGATTAAAATCAAATAATGTGAAAACACGTCAAGAATGCATTGAACTCGGAAGATGCGTAGCCGTTCAAGAACCAAGGCAAGGGTATTGTATAGCCTCAAAATGGCAATTAAGGATATTTACATCAAGTGGCAAACAAAGTAACTCCTGTGGAAAATCCCCTAAATCAAGTCTTTAAATAGTCTTCACTTTCTTTTCCCCCTTCTCCAATTATTTTTTCGGACTAATAATAATAACAGTAATAATAATAATAACAATAATAATATAAAATATTATTATTATAATTATTATAATCATTATTATTATTATTGTAGTCTACTAAATAGGCTATATTAGGCTATGTATTACGTGTATAGTTCAATAAACATTATACACAAAAATTACTTATCAACTTTTAAATATTAGCCTACTCAGATGCATAGCCTACTTTCAAAGTAAATATTTCAATCAAACTTTAAATTTAACAAATTAAACAAATTTCCAAAATAATCTACGAACCATTTCTAAATAAAAAGTATAGTCTATTATTACCGACGAAAACTTATTTTATTAAATTGTAGCCTATTTAATTTTTTATATAAAAAACGATGTTTACAATCACTAACAAAAATTTGAATTTTGGTTTTCGTTTCTATTTAAACCCAAAATTTATAAAACATTCCAATTCTTTGAACCCTATTTTTACAGTGCATCTTGCATAGAAGTCATTTTCAAAGGATTTCTATGATTTTCTTCAACTCTCAAGATTTAGTACAGTGCTGGAACTCTTGGTCACAAACGAACTTTCGAGATGAGCCGAGTCAGGGCTGTAAAGTAAACGAAAAAGAGCAAAAACAAACCCAAGCACCCGAGTTTTCAGAACGCTCAAGGTTTCGGTTGATTTTAAAAAAAATGGATAGATCAGTATCTGAAATGGTTAAAGCAAATATCTGTTTATTGATTTATAAACACTTATCAAAAAATAGTGTAAGTAATAATTGATGAGATATACTGTGCTAACATATGCATCAAAGTATCGGCCGTGGTAGACATTTTGATGCAACTTTCGTATCGAATACAGGCGAATTATTTAACGAATTAGCTATCTATCAAATACAGGTTCGGCCTATTCGAACTCTTAAATATGTTAACGGGTACACATTGAACAGAATGTTTTAAAGTTTTCCAGCAAAAGCAGTTTTGACATGACCTGAATTTGTGCGCAGGTGCACAAAAAAAAAAAGTTTTCAAGTCCCAGATTTGGCTAAACCTAAATTCTCCACACAAATTACAAGGATGTTCAACATTAAACGTAACATTATAAATAAAATTTAAGCTTAGCCAACTCATTCTGTCTCACTACCCAATTAATATTTCAATTATAATAAATATTCTAGTAAGCTTCCATGTCCCAAACTCCAGAATTTCCCAGAACATAAGAAATCAAAACCGGCAACTAAACGGAAAATGTATCAAAATAAATATGAGTAAGTGAATGTTGTCCTCCTCTCCCTCGCATTTGACCAGTGGCCAACATGACAAGAATGAATGAATGAAGCAGCACACGTTATGCACTTGTGAGAGTAAATTGAGCTTGGTCATTTGGCAGATCGAAGGGATACACACACACCCGGCGCTTAGTCCACATTAAACGTCTGTAGTTGCCGTGAGAGTGACTGTTTAATTGACTGATTGATAGTGTGGCGTGTAGGTGAGGGCTCAACGAACAGCGTTAACAAATAGAGACACTTAACAGCTAATCCGACGTGGCACGAACAGCACGAGCGAGGCTGTTTGCGAGTGTGCACACGGATGTCAGCGCTTTTCAAAACTACACAAAACTCAAAGGGTTTGTCATAGTTTCCTTATAATATATAGGCCTATTGTATTTCCTTTTAATGTAATTTAATATGATTATACGAAAACATATTTTGGCTAATAAATGAACAAGAAACGTAGGCTACTTTGAAACATTTACAATAGGCACAAAAAAATTAAACCAATTTTTTTTAAATTTTGCCTATTTTTCAAAAAACGACAAACAAGTTCAAAAATAAATTCCACTTTGTGAAATCATCTTGTCATCATAAATGTTTTTACAAAAGTGCAGATGACATACCTCAGCCTTTCCTGACAGTGTTCTCCAACCGTCCAAAGTAGAAACTATCTAACCCGTGTGCGCTTTCACTCTCCTGGTGTGTGATCCGGGGGCGCGCGGAGCCGGGAACCGTGGAAGCACCTCTACACTAATAACCACGACCGAGGGAACTGAATGAGAGGGAGGGAGGGCGCTGAGGAGGTGTGTATCTCTCAGTAAGTAGTTAATTAGTAAATCCCCATTCGCTGTGCCTCGGGTCGGTTTGTTTTCCCCGGTCGACAAGCCGAGAGGAAAGAGAATTTGAAGTAGGATTCGACCCGTTTCCGCTCCTCTGTCTCGTATATGAAGTGCGTGTGTATGTGTGTGTGTTGTTCTCCCTCCCCACCTCCCCACCCTCCCTTCTCTCTCTCTCTCTCTCTCTCTCTCTCTCTCTCTCTCTCTAACTCTCTCTCTCTCATTCATTCTTTTCGTCAGAAAATCCACTTTACTCTCTTCCTAACATTCTCGCATACACAATTGCCCCCTTTTCGCGATTCTCCAGATAGTGTCCACTTTGCTTCTGGACTTAATGTCCAGGCTACAACTTTCATCTCAACATTCAGCCGCATGCACTAAAATAGGCTACGTGATGTAGGCTTTCACACTCCCATCACCACCAGTAAAAAAAGAGTGATTTACTTTTAGTGATTTACTAGTTCGTAAAAAATGTAGTTTATTAAATACAACAACAACAAAAATTATTATTTCATCAACTCTTCAAGTCAAGCTCAGGCGCCCTATAAACACCTTTGCCTGGTGGTGCATGAAATGAAAGAGCATACTAAAGATTTTGAAGCCATTTCAGCACTTGATCTTAAGTGTAAGATTATATAATTTATTTAACTGTCAAATGGATAAAAACCTCAACAAACTAACGTTGATCTCACTGGCATGCATCCGATTCTGGATCTCGTTCAGAAGTAAACATCACTTTAAGTCTTCACGGTCTTTTCCAAGCCATTGACTGCATCTAACAAACTTAAATTGCTTAATTGATCGACTACGTAATAATCCATTAGGTAAACCTATGGAACCCACTGGGGTGTGGAAGGAGGCACATGATGAGCCTAGGAGCGGATGCATACTTATAGTAGGCCTACAAAGGTACTGCCAATTATGAAGTCTCAAACAATATTAATCTGACTTGTAGGCTACACAATACCATCATGCACCTCTATATCGCCCCCTAGTGAACACAATGACTACAGAGGGTTCCAAGTCCATTCTTGTGTGAATCAGTTACAGAAATAAATAAATAAAAAATCATTAATAAATCAAATAATATGTGTGTCTGTTTGTTTATATGCTTTATAAGGATACAAATTTGTATAATGACATGGGTATTACACTGGCATTACAACAAAACAAAAAAAAACAGTTTTCTGTGATGGGTAGGTTTAGGGGATATAGGCCTACACACTAGCATGCCAACATCGTGGGTTTGATTTACACACAAACTGGTTACTTGGAATGAACTGTAAGTTGCATCTGCCAAATGTTCAAAGACAGGATGCACATACGACCCCACATGTATAGACCTTAATGTTGGGTGTATTACAGGCCTCCCTGTGGCATTATGAATGCAACGTGCGTAGTGTGCTCTAATGTCAGTGACTGTGGTGACAACTGATGGTGCATCTATTAGGTGGGAGGGGGAAGACTGACCTATCCCATTATCAGTGATTGAGGTTATTCGTATAGGTAGAGCAGAGATTTTTAAAACTCACTTTGCACTGTATGGATTTACTGTCCACTTCCTTACTGTATAGTTTATTACTTTACAATGTGGATCCGATTCACAACCACATTATGTTGGCAAAGGAAGAATTGTGCTGCTGTTGTACAATCAAGCTTAACTTTTACCCCCCCCCCCCTCCCTCCCTCCCTAATAGATGCTGTTTATTTGCAATGGGCAGAGAAACAGAGAGGCCTCTGTACATTTTTAGACACAAATGGATAGAACAAGGAACAACAAATAGAAAGAGATGCAGAAATAAACTGAAAGAAGAACAGTAAGAGAACCGAAAAGAGGGATGGGAAAACGAAGAGAAAAGGAGAAGGAAAGAGAGCAAGAAAGAGCTCCAGTCCCCAGTCTTAATCTGAGCAGGTCTGATCAATAGCCCATTTCCCATTGTTGCCAGAGCTCTTCGATCGCTACACCACCGAATTAACACACCCACTTTAATCTGAGGGGGAGACGGGCCCCATGGGTTGGGGGTGGGGTTGTTGTTAGGTGCTGAGGTTCAGACTGGTCTGTTCGAGGGGTTGGAGGGCTATGGGGGGCAGGGGTAGCAGCTGTGGAGGCATCCTCAAATGAAATCAAATCTAATTGTTATCACTGTTGGGCCTGGTGTTATTACTACTACTGTTTGTAATTATCTTAGCTGCATCGCCCTTTTCTGGCCTGCCTCTTTCTCCAACAACAGAGCATGAGGTAAACTGGACATTTATAAGTGCTATGAAAGTATTAGGCTGGTGGTGATTGTGATAATTGTTTCCAATGGATGCTCTATTGCTGGTAAAATAGCAATAGCCTAAACTGCTAAAAGTAAGATTAGTGCAACCCGATTGTGTGTATGAAGCATCAGAAGTCAATACATCACATTTGCTTGCGTCCTTTGCCCAGTCTAACAAGGAATTTTAGACCATACAATGTCATTGACTTGTACAGTAAAAGTTTTGTTGATCAGGCCTCATTTCCCTAGGGAAGCTGAGTAAAGTGCATACAAAAGTTTTTTTCACACTGACAAAAGATAGCCTATATAGTTTAATGTGTACTGACGCCCTAAACCCTTTATGGGCAAACAGAATAAAGTTGTATTTATTTAATTGAATTTACATGTTGTTTTATATTTAGAACATGTGGCTCCCAAACTCTTGCAAGTATAAAATAATAAAAAATAATAATAACTTATGTGAGAGTCATTCACTTCTTGAGAACCGAGAGGCCTTTATTATCTCATTCAAAACACTTTCTTTTCCTTCACAGCCTTAACACTTTAAAAGTTTGGACAGGTATAAAAATCTGCACCAAAATCATACTAAAATCAATCTGGTATTATGTCAAAACAACACTCTTTCAAGCATTAGATTATGTGAAATTTGTCTGTATTTATGGTCCCGGGGCATGGCAACTATACATCTGCTATGAACTTACAATTCTTTCTCTGAGGCCACATAACTCAACACTGCTTATTTGTGCGGTCCAGCAGCCCACCAGAGCCTGTTCTCGTCACGCTCATGTGCACTATTTCATATCAAAGTAATTTTCTCGTTTGCTAAGTGATTTAATTGAGGGTAATTAGGCATGCTTCTCGAGTGGATAGAGCTGTGTGTGGCTAACTTGGGTTAAATTGGCTTCAGTTCAGCTGTGAAATATGGGGTTAAGTGGGAGTAAAAAAAAGGTGAGGTATGGTGGACTGCAATGAAAGTGTTGTGCTATTCCTTTAAACTTTAACATTGAAAATAAAGCTTTGTTATGTAGCTGTTTTGCTTCACTCCTCCACCTTGGTGTAATATTTTAATAAATATTTTGTAAACTGAAAACGTAGGTCTTAAACCTAACAACTGTGTGGTAAGAGTCAGTCACTATTAGCAAAATATGTAATCTGTCAACAGATTTAAGCACCGCACACAGATATCACTTACAGCCCTCAGCTAAATAAAACCAGTATCCTGATTTTCGTTAACTCTTACTTAAACCTCTGGAAGCCCATAAATGTCTCAGAGCTATAAAGGGAATGAGGAATGATGTGGCCATTGACTGTAGAGCAGTGCGCTGTCATCACTGGAATGAATGGGTGAGAAGGGCATATTCAAGTAAAGCGTTATGAGTGTTTTATCCTCACTGGAGCAGTAATGAGTCTGTTATACCCCCCATAAATTTTGGCTTATAAGCTTAGCAGACATGCTTGTGTGCCTGAGCTGAACTCAGAGAGAACTTACATTCCCCATCATGTCTAACCAGAGAAACACAACATAGTATGCTCATACATTACAAAAAGACTTAATGACATCCTCGTAGGCACTTACATTAATATTCAGCTTCTGAAGATATGCCTATCTTCAGTTGTAAAACTATTTAGAAAGAAAAGAAACTTTTCACATTGTTGAAGGCCTGAATACAGACCCAGTAACAAGTGAGTGAGAAAAAGTGTTTAAAAACAGCATTCTGGCTGCTAAAAGTGGTTCAAGTGTATTGTTTAGCTAAAGATGATCTGCTTAAAACACAAATTATTCACAATATAGGCCTATACGTAAATAAAATAAATAGAAAATCAAATGAAGGCACATACTAAATGTCTTCACCACTTAATATCTTGTTTGTTGATTAGAATAATGCAAAGCAACGGTGTTTTGATACGTCTAGAATGGAGTTATACTCTTTAACCTTAAAACTAATCCAACACAAACTTCAAAACAAAGCATGCCACCAACCAATAAGCACAAGGAGTCGTCACCATTAAAGCAATCGCTTGACTTGTGCAGGTGTACCGCGCATCACCTCTCAATTCCCCTTCCTTTCTCGCCCTTTCCCATAGCGCCGTTACGCACCCCGCAGCTATAAAACACCACACGGGGTAATGTGACACGTTTTTCTAATCATCGTCATGAAAAGTAAAATGCTGTCTGTCTGCAACAGTGGCAAATGCACAGACACCAAAGGTGGCTGCATCATTTCATGCTCTCTCTCAGTCACGCACTAAGGACAAGCTATTTTCCCTGTAAATTAACAGTGTTTTGAAACAGGATCTTCACTCAGACAGTCTACAGTCAAAAAGTGGAGAGCTTTACTCACCTGCCGCTGCGCATTCACATCGACTTAACACTTGGTTTTCCGGGACCCCGTGGATAGCATTAAGTTGGTTTTATCTCTCCGAATTATCGTTCAAAAGGAGGCAAAATGTTGTGATAATGCGAATAAAGCAATAGCATGACGAGTGAGCAGCACGAGACAAAACACAAATGTAAACAAAACTGCGAAGGAAAAGAAAAAAAGTGTTTCCTTTAGGAATTTGGTAATAAAATGACGCCCACCCCATAGGTTTCTGTAGTCCCTCGCAAGTCCGCCTGCAAAGTGTGCAGGAGGTGTCGAAAAGAGTGAGCTCAAACTGAACTGCACATGACGAGTCGCGCGCTAGTGTAGCCTACGAGTCGCAAGTGGAGCGCGCCGGTGAACAGAGGAGGAGAGAGGGGAACATGTCAGAGGACCATGAAGATATGTCAAGGGGGGATGGAGGAAGTAAAGAGCATGGTGTATATCCCCTAAAGTTAAGCTAATC